TGTGAGGGGAAAAGGGGGATCCGAGGGAGCCTGGGGGGTTTTTGTGAGGGGAAAAGGGAGCCTGGGGGTTTTATGTGAAGGGAAAAGGAGACTGAGGGAGCCTGGGGGGTTTTTGTGAGGGGAAAAGGGGGATCTGAGGAAAGAAAAAAGGGGCTTGAGGGGATGGCGAGCAGGTTTGTGAGGGGAAATGGGGAGTTTAGGGTCGGTTTGTGAGGGGAAAAAGGGGATCTGAGGGGGCAAAAAGAAGAATTTGGGGCGTTCTGGTCCCGTCCGTGTGGAAAAAAAGGGAGACTGAGTGGGTCTGAGGCGTTTGTGTCCGGGAAAAGGGTCCTGGAGGGGCCTGAGTAATTCTGTGAGGTAAAAAGGTGTTTTGAGGGGGATCTGGGCTGGGTTTTGAGGGGGATCCGGGGGGAAAAGGGGGCTGAGGGTCTGGGGCTGTTTGTGAGGGAAAAGGGGGGCAAAAAGGGTCTGGGGGCTCTTTGTGAGGGGCAAGGGAGGCCTGGAAGGGGTGTGAGAAATCCTGTGGGGTAAAAAGAGCGTTTGATGGCAACCTGGGTCAGCTTTTGAGCAATAGAGAAAATAAAGAAGTCTGAGGGGGTCTGGGGGCATTTTTGGGAGTGAAAAGGGAGATCCTGGGGTATTTTATGTGGAGAAAGGACAGGATCTGGGGGGATCTGATCTCTCTGTGAATGGAAAAGAGGGACTGAAGGGGTTTGGGATTGTTTTGTGAGGGAAGAGGGGGCTCTGAGGGGCTTCGGGCCCCTCTGTGAGGTGGAAAAAGGGGTCTGGGTGTCCCCCAGTTCCTCTCTTGCGCCCTGTGAAGGAGCCTGGGGTCTCCCACAGCCCGGACCCTCCTGTGGGGTCGGGGGTCCTGAGCCATGTCCCCCTTCGGGCCTGGATTTGCTGTAGGGAGAGTGTTCTGGGATGAGCCCCTCCCCAGATTTTGGGGTCCCATTTCGGGGTTCCCTGCGGGGCAGCAGCGGGGGTTTGTGTGCATGACCCCCGGTTTTGGGTGAGGGGGTCACGCCTTGCACCCCAAAGCGAGAGGGGCAAGCAAAGGGGGGGTGCCAGACACCCCCACATTGACCCCCCAGGCTCTGGGATCCGCCGTGGGGGGCAAGTTTGGGGTGCCACCGTCCCCCCCCAGCCCGGTGGCTGCGCGCTCGGGGTGTGGGGGCGTCAGCCCACCCCCTCCCCACCCCCTTCCCTGCTGCAGCCCCCCGGCCGGGGGGGCTGTGGGGGCGGCGGCAGCGCTGCACGGGCTCGGCGCCCTCCCCGCGCTTTGGGGGGGCTCTGAGGGGCGAGCCCCCCCAAATCCCTCCCGTTCCGACCCCTGCGAGCGAGGACCAGCCCCCCACCCCGGGTGGGGAACGGGGGGCGCGCCCCCCTGTCTGTCTGAGGGGTGGGGGGGATTTCCTCCGGGGGCAGCTGGGACGGGGGTTCCCCGTTTTAGGGGGCGGATTTGGGGGGCTCTTGGGGTCCCTCTCTGCCCCCAGCTTTTCTGTGGCTGCTGGGAGACCCCGCTGCTGGCTCAGCCGTTTTGGGGAGCACCTGGGGGTCTCCTCAGCTCCCCCAGCTGGGTGACACCCCCGTTTTGGGCGGTGTTTTGGGGGGCTTCCCCCTTCTGTGACCCCAAGTGCTGGGGGTGGCCCCAGCAGGGCGCGTGGGGGCACAGGTGGCCTCGTGTCGGTGTCCCCAAGCCCGAGGACAAGGCAATGCCACCTGTTCTGTGGCCGTGGCATCGGGCCCCCTCCTCGTTTTGGGTGGTTTTCCTCTTATTTATCCGCTGTTATGTAACGCCAGAGGAAAATTATTCCTGGCGGGGAAGATTTGGGGAGGGGGCGGCAGCGCCGTGTGGGGGGGGCTCTGCACCCTCCCCAGCCCCAGCAGCTGAATTTGGGGGGTCTTTCCCTGCCCCCCCAGCCCCCAATTCCTCCCTCACACAGAACCCGATCCGGTGGGGTCGGAGATAAAAAAAACCCATCAAAAATACCTAAATTTGGCTGACATTTGAGCGGCGCCGCACGAAGCAGCGCTGCCTCCCCGGCTGCCGCCGCCGCGCCGTGCCCGGGGGTCCCGGTCACACCGGGGACACCGGCACCGCTCCCGTTGCCACCGGTTTGGTGCCGCTGGCGTGGGCGGCTGCTGGCGGCATCGACGCCTCCCGGCACCGGGATCCTCACACCTGCCTGGTGACGTCACTGCTGGGCTGCTGATGTCACACCGTACCTGGTGACATCACACCGTACCCAGTGATGTCCCTGCAGCCTCAGCGCTGTCACTGCTGCTGCCATTCCGGTGCCATCCCGGTGCCCGTTCCAATGCCCATTCCAATGCCAATTCTGGTGCCATTCCCATTCCAATGCCCATTCTGGTGCCCATTCCAATGGCCATTCTGGTGTCCACTCTAATGCCCATTCCAATGTCAATTCCGGTGCCATTCCCATTCCCGTGCCCATTCCGGTGCCCGTTCCACTTCCCATTCTGGTCCCATTCTGGTGCCCACTCCAGTGACTTTCTGGTGCCATTCCCATTCCAATGGCCATTCCGGTGCCCACTCTAATGCCCATTCCAATGCCAATTCCAGTGCCATTCCCATTCCTGTGCCCATTCCGGTGTCCATTCCGGCACCCATTCCAATGGCCATCCCGGTGCCCATTCCCGTGCCCATCCTGGTGCCCATTCCAATGCCCATTCCCGTGCCATTCCCATTCCAATGCCCATCCCAGTGCCCATCCCGGTGCCCATTCCCGTGCCATTCCCATTCCAATGGCCATTCCTGTGCCCATCCTGGTGCACATCCCGGTGCCCATTCCAATGCCCATTCCCGTGCCATTCCCATCCCGGTGCCCATCCCGGTGCCCATCCCGGTGCCCATTCCAATGCCCATTCCCGTGCCATTCCCATTCCAATGCCCATCCCGGTGCCCATCCCGGTGCCCATTCCCAGCCTTCTGGCTCTGCCCCCGGCCGGACAGCCCCCGCCCAGTGCCGGTTTTCCCCTTTCCTGCCCCGTTTTCCCCGCCCCGGCGCTCCAGGTGTTCCCGGGCCCCACCCCGGTCCCGCTGCGGCCTCAGCCCCGACCGGTCGAGCCGGTCCCCGCTCGCTCCCTCCCGGCGTCCCGCGGGGCTCCCGCCGCTCCCGGCGCTTCGGGGTGCCCAGGGTGAGTCCCCCTATGGCGGGCGGGCTGGGGAAAC